CCCCCCCCCCCCCAATATTCACAAGTGGACAGCCAGCTCCTGGTAATCAGGTCCGACTCCCAACCTCCTGGCATTTTGAGTGTTTAGACTTCAATTTGTTCCCTGAGCTGATGGAATAGATTGCTATCACCAATATGTAACTTGTCTCCCTGATTTAGAAAGAAGGAAGACAATTTTTCATCCACAAACATGCCTGCTTTCTTCTTGCTAGTGTTACTATAGCAACCAGAACAGCTTTGAGATCAGATTAGGAACCCCAGGGAGCTTGAATGCAGTCCTGGTCCCCAAAGCTGATTCCACCTGTGCTCCCTTTCTTGTGGAGCAGGGGGCACCTGCCGCACAAGGATCACTGGGGCCTCCGGGAGTCACCTTCGGTGGTGGAGACGGTGCATTCAAACATCTTGTCTCCACTGAGTGACTAAGTTGCCTATAGAGCTGTGTGTCCAACACAAAATGTCCAGAGGATCGGATCGATGTTCACCATCCATCAAAGGGGCCACTGCAAACTACTCACTCAATTAAAATTTCCTTAGCTGATTGTTTGATGCCTCGAACCCCTTTAGCAGAACATAATCGAAGACACCCCCATGGGTATCAAAACTGTTAGCTTGGAAAAAACAAAATGTGTCAGTGTAACCAACATTGATTCTACAACAGACATGAACTATTTAACATTGTTTTCTCTTTCAGATGGCATTTACTATGAGATTTTAATCGCTAAATGTTCATGGTCGTTAAAATGTTGAAATATTAACAGTCATTTTAATTTACTTTGTACTGTAGTAATTAATATTGTCTCATTTTAATTGTTTCAATAGGATCATGTTCTGTTTTAAGAACTATCTTGAAAGCTGGTGATTCAAGTTAATTTATTTAGTCCCAGTGAGGAGAAATTTGGAGCCAATAGTTGGTGCTTAAATATTTGACAAATATCCTTTAGTGGAAATCTATTTCAGGATGTTTGCTCTGGTCGTCTTATTACAACTAGCTTATGATTTGGAGTAGTGAGAAAAGAATTTTACTTTTCAGGATTAAAAGATAAAGCATTTAAGAGTGCATTTATATTCTTATGTATTCAGTGCTTATGTGCAGTAAGGAATGAGATAAAATAACACTTTTTCCCCCCCTCCCTCTACTCTTCAAAAACCATTTTTATTATGTCTACTTGATACATTTCTCACGATGTAAGGGACATACATCACAATTTACAGTTCAATGACTACCTGGAAGTCTACCACTTAGGTTAAAAAGCAATACTTCTGCATCTCCTCTAGGCTTCTTCCCAACCCCATTCCACAGCTTCCCCATCATAGAGGGAACCGTTAACGTGAATTTTATTCCCTTGCTTTTTAAAAATCATTATTTTCATTGTTTGGCTTAAACCTCAGAAATGTATTTTCTCATAGTTCCAGAGGCTGCAGGTCTGAGGCCAGGGAGCCAGGTGGTCACGTCCCAGTGAGAACCGTGAGAACCGTGAGAACCGTCTTCCTGGTTCGCAAGCAGCCGCCCTCTCGCTGCCTCACGTGGCCTTGCCCCGGCGCCTGTGCTTAGAGGAGCTCTCTCCCCCTCTTCTTTGTTTTTATTGAGGTGTAACGGATGTACAACATTATATTAGTTTAAGGTGTGTAACGTAATGACTTTACATTCGTATACACTGTGAAACGATTGCCACAATAAGCCTAGTTTACATCCATCACCACACAGTTACAGAATTGTTTTGTGTGTGATGAGAACTTTTAAGATCTCCTCTCTTAGCAACTTTCACACAGGCACTACAGCAACACTAACTGTATTTGCCACGCTGTACATTACACCCCATGACTTATGTGTCTTATAACTGGAGATTTCTACCTTTGGATCCCCCTCACCCATTTCACCTGCCCTCCACCCCCTGCCTCTGGAAACAACCAATCTGTTCTCTGTAGCAATGAGCTTGTCGTTGTTATTTTGTTTAGATTCAGCACATATGTGAGGTCATGTAGTATTTGTCTTCCTGTCTGATTTATTTCACTTAGCATAATGCCCTCAAGGTCCATCCATGTTGTTGCAAATGACAAAATGTTAACCTTTTCATGGCTGGATAATATTCCTAGGAGTGACTATATATATATTCCTATTTTATAGATGTAGATATTCCTATTTTATAGATATTCCTATTTTACAGAGCCCCCTTTTCTCTGCATCCTTGCCGACTCTTGTGAACATGTATTTTATTCCCTTGCTTCTTAAAATTTATTTTTGGAAATTCACATTTATATAGAAAACAATACGTTGGTTAGTGTTTCTTATATTAGAAACTATAAAAATGATGTCATGCAGTGTGCAGTGCATTTTTTAACATTTCTATTTAGTTTCTAAGATGCATCCATGTTGTTATGGTTAGTTATAATGTATTCCTTTTTACTACTGCTTATTGTCCCGTTATGCAAAAGTGCCAGAGTTGATCTGTTCCCCAGCTGATGAACATTTGGGTTGTTTCTAGTTTTCACACTGTTATAAGAAATGCCCTAAGAACGTGTCCCTGTGCACATGCGCGAGAGCTTGGGGCTCAGCCTGGGGGTGAAGCTGCCGGCTTGCAGGGAGTGCGCATGTTCAGCTCTGCAAGGCAGGGCCACGTGGCTTCCAAGGCGGCTGCAACAGTCTGCTCTTCCCACCCGCAGTGACTGCGGGGATCCCCTTTGATCCGCATCTGGTTCGTGCTTGGCATTACCATGTTTCTTAATGTTTTACCAACTTAGTGGGTCATGTCCAGTGTGGTCTGAAATTGCATTTCCCTCGCTACAACTGAGGTTGAACTTTTAAAAAAATACGTTTTTGGGTCATTCACATTTCCTGTTTTGTGTAATGGCTGTTCAAATCTCCTGCCTGATTTATATATGTTTTTCTCTTTTTTTTTAAAAAATTGGTTGTGAAAGCTATTTTAATAATCTGGTTAATAATTTTTTTAGGTTATGTGTATTATAAGTTTCTCTTGTATTGTTTGGTGGCCAGAGAATTTTAATTTTAATGTAATTGAACTTATTTATAATCTACAATCAAGATTATAAATTTATTATCTTGGTTTTGTTCAGTAAATCCTTTCCTTCCCCAAGGTCAAAAGTTATCTTTCTATATATTCTTCTAAAAATTTTAGTTTTTTAATTGAATATTTAAGACTGTAATTCATAAAGAATTTATTTTTCATGGGTCTGAATCCTTTCACTGAGAAAAACTAGATTAAGTTGAAAAAAATATATTAAAAAAATATGGTTAAAAGCAGTGAAGGAATATCAAGGCAGTAAGGAGTGAGGGTGCGAAGATTTGGGCAACTAAGAGATAGCTTTTAACAGAATCAAATGGCTGGATGTATGAAAACTGAAGCTTACAACCTTACAAAGCAGACACTGTGTAGGCTTTATTTTAATGTCCTGAGGGAGACTAGACTGAGCATGGACCACGTCCACGCCTGTGTTAGCTGTGCTCTATTTGCCTTCTCCTGCCTCAGGTCCACTCTCTGCCTCCTCTGCGTCCAAAGAAACTGGAAAACTGATCCTAGAAGAAATTTAAATTTAAAGGACCCTAGATGGATATCTACAGATCTGGTAAGGAACAGGACTTAGAGACAAGAGAAGATTAATATAATTTGGATATATTTTAAGCTTTCTCTCTTTCTATAGGCATGTGATAAACCCATATGAAATATAGGTACAAATACAAGTGTGACTGCACCTGGAATTGACCATCAGGAAAATCCTAGTGGAGATAATTGTCCTAAGAAGATGATAGTGGAAATAAGTAATGCAAATCTAAAAACAGAAGAGCAATTTATAAACCGTAAATGCCTCACCAATCTCTTTATAAAATAATGGTTTTATATAAGCATAAGGGAAAATGCATTATTAACTAGGTGTGAGGATACCTGTCCAGCCTGCCTTCGTTTTCTCCGAGGTGTCCCTCCACTGCCCAGGAGGATGATCCCAGACTCATTCTTAGTGCTGAAGGACAGGTTGATTTCTGTTCCTACATTAATTGGCACAGGCGCCAGCTCCACAAAACCAGGCTTGGGGAAGCTAACCGTGTGAACATTCTGTGGGTAAAAGGAAAGAAAGTTTAAATTAATTTCTCCATCTCACACACCCTCCTCAATGTACTCAACATTGTGAAATACTTGGTAGTTTTAGAAAGCATGAAAATCCATAGTCACATGGAGAGCTTAAGAGCAACTGAAGAAATACCATTTCCAGCTCTAACTTAAATCTTCTGAATAGTTTGGGTTAAAAATGAAAATTCTGTCCTCTGTTTTTACTCTAGAACTTTTGATTTAAAATAAAAAAGATTATTATTGATAGATAAATTTTCTTTTGGTTTAAGCCTATCTTGCTAAATCTCCTTTGAACACACTGTAATTAATCGCTTGAATACCCTCTATCAACTATTTGTCCATGTTTTAAAGCTGAGTATGACCAGGGCCTTGTTCTGTGTTCTTCCTCAGTCATGAGCCCAATGTAAAGATGTTCATTGCTATCAAGTGTATAAATCTACCCTAGAAGAGTTTTTAAAAAATCAGATAACATCTAAATTTTAAAAATAAGTAAAACAAACATGTCACAGTCCAGTTTTCTTCTCAAAATGAAAATACTACCATTGTCCTTGCTGATAATAACATTTTTAGACAGTAACAAAGTGCAAAAGGGAGAAAGTAAAATTCACCCCTATCCCAAAGCTGTGTAGCAGCACATAGCTGATCATTCATTATGCAGCATTCGCTCATTTCTCTTTCACGAGTCTGCCCACTTCCTCTCTCCTCCTCTCTCCTCCTCTCTACATTCGAACTGAATCATGACAGGCACATTCATTTGTAACTTTTTCCCCCCTACATATGTGGAAGATAACTTTCTGTCAGTAAACATAGATCTAATCATCTTTTTTAATGGCAGAAGGACATTCCCTTTATGAATATGCTAGGATTTATTTAAGCAAGCACATGTATTTAGGCATTTAGAGTGCTTAAAATGCTCATTTTAAAAGTCCTGGGTTTTGCTGGAAAAAAAGGAAGGAATCCTTTAAGGCAGAGTATTTTTCCCCATGGTGTTTCAGTTCCAGGTAAGTGACACAAGAATTGTGAAATATATAATCTACTTTCTATTCCAATTTTCAAAACATAGAGTTTGGATAGTTCAGACAAAATGACTGTGCCAACTTTTCAATATTTATCCACATCAAATTTCTGCCTCATATTTTAGTTGCAAAATAATTCCTAGTTACTGAAAAGTGGCTTTATAGAATTATCATTTCGACACATACAAGCTATTCATTTTCTGGACAGTTTTCCATCCTTATGTATATGTCTTCTGCATGTGAATGAGAGTTAGGCTTCGGAAGATTAAAACTCTCAGTAAAACTTTCTTTAAGAGGCCAGTATGGATCCATAGAGATTCAATCCTGTATGCATTTCCTTCTTTCCTTCTCAGGGTAGCTGTCTGCGGCTAATTGCAAATTGGAGCCTACAGCTATGCACAATGAAGACCCTGGACGTTCTGTTCCAGTTGTTAAACCTGATGGCTCAGTGCTGGATTCACTTTTCTTTTTTCCTGTTCTCTCTTCATTTCCCATCACAATGCTGTAAAATAATTTTAATTGGAGGAAGCAGCTTGAATGAATAGCTGTGTTATATCAGGGTAATTAAAATTTTATAAGAATGATACATTTGACTTTTTTTGGTAAACAAACTCATAGCTTTTAGAATTCCCATAAAATTCTTACTAATATTTGCTAATGACTACTGGCCTCTTGCTTACAGATATTTTAAGAGAGCCAAGCTGGGACCTATGTTTCTCTCTCCTATGGGTTAGCCCCTATTGAAGAATCAGGGCAGAATGTCAAGTGGAATCAGGGGGCTGCTGGGCTGCTTTGGCAACAAAGAAAAGATGCTGAAGATAGAAGGTAACAAGGATCTTAGCAGTCATGTCAAAGGTAAGACTTTATAGACAGTTCCCAGTCTGTGCAATTTCCAAAGAAAAGGAAGTTTGACTTCCAAGCTGTAGACAAGATGCTATGCGTTAATGATTATGGGGTGCATTACTACTAGCTATTTGTGTGAATTCCTAACACATTCCAGAAAAGCTATATAGAACCCATACAGATAAAATAAATCTAAAATTGATGACAAAAAGGAGGAAAATGGAAAAGTAGTGTTGGAAAGGAAGAGAGAACCAGAAAGGAGATTAATATTAAAAATACATTCTCTGAAGTACTATACATATGGGAAACTGGCTCATGATTTAGGGTCAAATAATACCATTTTCTAAGTTCAGTTGATTACAGTAATTTAAAGAAGTGTTTCAATCTTGCTTTATCATCACCACATAGCTAAGACTAGGGTGAGTAGGAATTTAAAACATTAACAAGGGCCTGGTCCCTGTAAGAGCACCCAAACTAAGAAGTGAAATCTGATATGAATGTATTTAGGAAGCCAATAAAAACAAACCAACCTCCAGCAAACATCCTTTGGTAACGCCAACATAATCAGGGCTACTGAGTATATTGTATGGAGTTCTTGAGATTTCAATATCTTTAAGGCAGCCAGAGTATTTCTTCAGATTTACTTCTGGTCTGTTGAAAAGTTACATAGAAAACAAAAGCAGCATTATTAGGGCCAGGGCAGTGCAGTGTCTGTGATTACTGAACACAAGCCATTAGAGCAAACTGACACGCAGGCAGGCACTTGTCTGTCAAACGGTGCACATGTGTACCCAGCACACTATGCTTCCATCTTCTCCTGGTTGGACTAAGTGGATGTTAACACCAACCTGAGGAGGAATCAGTCTTCCTCTCCATTTAAAAAATAATCTTACACATGAATTTAAATGCTACAAGGTACAGGGATGAACTGACTTCCTACGTTCTTCGTATGCGTAATGAACTGTATTTCTTTTTTCACCAGAGAGCAGTCAATTGTGTAGGCAGCATAATCAAATCATATACCAAAACAGTTAAATAAAACATTGCTCAAAATTTAGGAAGAAAAATCTGGAAACATTTATTTCAAAAATAAAATATTTCTGTCATTGAGACATTTTCTGGGGGGTAGGGGATATAGCTAAAGAATAAGATAATATTGTGTTTGTCTTTAGAGCTTTTTAATGAACAGCCTAAGGAACATTCTTTTGGCTTACATAGTCCTAAAAGAGATACTTTAATATTGGGTTTACAGATTAGCCCCAAAGTTCTTATTTTATATTGAAGTAATAATAAAGCAACCAAAGGCACAAAGCATACTTTAATTTTTCCAACCAAGTTGAAAATGGATTCCATACCCAGATGACACCTGAATGTTTACTTTTAGCTTATGACTTCTTAAAAAGCGATAAACATGCTAGCACATAGTAAGTGCTCAATACAAATAAGCCAGTAGTACGTAAAAAATAATGAAACTTCTTGATTTAGTCTATAGCAATGCTGGCCAATAGGAGTTTCAGTGATGATGGAAATACTCTGTTCTGCATTGTTCATAGTTACTAGCCACCTGTCACTATCAGTACTTGAAATGTAGCTTATGTGAATGAGAAACTGAATATCATTATTTAATTCTTTTTCATTTAAAGTTAAAAAGCCACCGTGGTTAGTGGCTACCATACTGGACAGTGCAGGTCTATAGTAAAAAAAAAAAAATACTTTTTTGCATCTGTAAAAGCTGTCCAATCAACACCAAAATATTGTTCTAATTAGGATAATAATTAATCCTCTGCACCTTGTCCCATGATGCCAGGACTCCCTTTTCTGTCTTAATGAAAAGCACATGGGCATGAGGAAAAACAGGCAGGGAAGCAAATCAGACCGTGGCAGTGTATATCAGGTGATTTATGTCATGCCAGGTATTTGTTCTGTTTTTTTTCTCTCTCTCTCTGGAACTGCTTTATTTTCTTTGATCGTTTCCCCTTGTTCCTAAGGTTTTCTCCTCTGTTCAGTTATTTGGTTATTATGTGGAACGTGGCCCACTGGAGGGTGAGGATCTTGCTTATATTCTTACTGTACAAAGGGAGGAAATGGGTGAATTTCTTTTGTTTCCATATTTCCCTTTAGAGGGAGACTGATCTATCACCATTTTTCAGAGGTCTTATCAATAAAGAAAATCACTTCTACAAGGTACGTAGTTCACTGTTTCATGGAAATACAAAGAACCATTTCAAATGACAATGATTTAGCACGCTCAATGTTATGAAAATCACAGGGGATAAACAATCGCATATGGTGATCAGACTCCTAATGGTAACCACAGGCCTCTGTTTCCTCTGCTTGCCTCAAAGGCAAAATTACAAAGCTACATAGTGTCATTCCAGAGTTTTATTAGCATTTATTTCCATTGAACACCAGCCTTTGCCTTTTAGCCATCTCAGCAAACAGCTGGACTGGTCTCATTACTGTATCGCGATAAAACCACTTGGATTATATATTTTTACACTTTCATTTCTACATAGTCTAGTTTTTGTTTTAAAAATTTCTAGAATCAGTTCAGCTTCATTATCTCCTTTTCAGAAATACGGCACAGTTTGGCCCTGAAATACCCAAATGCCAGCCTTGAGTCGCAGCCAGCGTGAGCCAGCCTGCGTATCTCTGGCGTTTGATCAGCCACGGAGAGGCCTGCAGCTCACAGCTTTCACGCTAACGCCTCTCTGCAAACAGGAATTAGAATGCTCCTGAGAAGCTAAGGGGCCTGTTCACAAACTTCTTCAACATTCATGCAAACACTTGCAGTAAACAGTATTTCCAGAGATTCCTTTTATCTAGCTTCAGAGCTAATTCTAAATAAACACGGCAATAAATAAGCAGCTTTGCCAAAAGTTGCAAGGGCCGTGTAAACATTTGGATATTTGCAGGCTTGCAGAAAGCAACAAGGCGGTGGTAAGCATGTGGGAGCACAGGCTGATTGTTGAGCAGACAGCATGGTACTAGAGAGAGCGGGGTCCAGGGGTCAACCCAAGAGGCTGCTTCGCTCTTCCCCAGAACTAGACAGCGCCCAGAAACCTGCCCAGCTACTGCCCTTGAGCGTGTGCTGCCGAGAGCGAGCACTAGGGGGCGCTGCGCGCGGGAGGTTGAACAAATGAGCAGCGAATCTGTCATCCTGGCTGGTGAAACAAGTCTAGTTGCAGCTCAGCTGGTGGGGGGTGAGCAGCAGCGTCTTTGTGAGCACAGGGCAGCCTGAGCACGACCTCGGGATGCATTACTGCTCATGAAATATACTATGAATAAAGCTGCATAGCTGTCGCTCCGCTTCTGCACTGCTGCTTTGTCTAAGAAGCCACATTACCCCACCCATGCACTTGGAGAAGGCATGCATAAATTAAATTTTACCTTGCTTTCATACTAGGTCAAAGGAAAGAGAGAAAAAAACATAATTTACTTATAATTGCATTTTCATTCAGTAAACTAAACTTTAATCATAAATCTTTCTTTAAAGCATCTCACAGGGATCTTCAAAGGAAAGGAATTTAAAAATGATCAGAACAGAAAACAGACATATGCCCTGGACCACACAGTAATTAGAATCCAAAGATGACCATTCCCCACACTATTCTCTTGGAGAATGTGTATTTTGGAATATGAATTTTTAAAGTACTCAATCTTTTGAGTAGAAAAATGCACAAATGTTGCTATGCTGTAGTGTTTATGAGTAGTATATAAATATTGTCTCTCAAAAAGCCTGAACTTAGTACATGTAATTATAATTTATGTTTACCACATCTTTTGAACTTTATCATATAATATCCTGTCTGTGAGCAAAATAACAGTAAGTATGAATGCATGACTCTTTGATCAGTCACAAATATATGTCTAAAGATTGTTTTTGAAATAATGTGTCATACCATGTAAACATATTTATGAGATGCTGTATTGTGAAATTAAAAACATTATAGTAATAGAGACACATTAGTTATGTAGTATGAAAACTAACACCTATACTCATCTCAATAAAGTTAACATATGTATCTTTGTAGATAATTCCTAAAAATCACTTTATGGTAATTAAAAAGAAGTCCTTATTAGAATAAATAAAGGTATGTTTGGATAGCTATAGTCTATATTTAATCCACTCATAGAGAATTTAGTTAATGATCTTGCAAAGCAAATCTTAGACTTGAACAGCTGCTGGATCCCTAGTATTTATATGATGCCTGGCACATAGCGGATGCTCAACAAACACTTGTTGCATGATTAATAACTAAGTCACTATTCAAATACATTTGATCTGCAGTGATTTTTTTTGACCAGACACAAAAGCCTTATAATGTAAATAAATGCAGAACCAGTTTATTTGCACCACAAAGCTTATCAAGTTATACCCTTGAAAGACTGGTAATTACACGGTTGCCTGGTCTTTGAGTTCAGATACAGGGAAAAGAGGAAACCTCAGTTTGCATGCTGGCTATCAGAAAACGAGACTGAAGTTCCATTGTCCATTTGGACAATCTGTAAATAAATGACCACCATACATTTCAGTTATTCTTTGATCCTTCCAATTGTACCATGTCTTTTTAGAGTAGTAACACCTAAACGGGACTTTGTAACCATTAAAAACTAACTAAACAAAACAATACAAAATTAAAACCACTAATTCATCCCATTTCAATTAAATTTATTTAACATTTATTAGGCACCAACTACTCTATAGCTTTTATTTCTTATGTTTTTATACCAAGCAGTAAATTAATTAAATGCCGCATGGAATTTTGCCTAACTTTTTTTAGTTACTTGTATTTATTTTTTGAACTAACTAAACCATGAGATCAATATAGCATCCCATCCTGCAATGTAAAAGACATGTGAAATTAAAAAAAAAACAGAGTTGGCATGGGCGTGAGAATAACAAATATGGCTTTAGCATTAGGCATGTGGGAAAGCTCCAATACCCATGATCATGCTAATGCTCAGCAGTAAAATAGGTGATACCCACACCTCCTGGAACACTGAGTAATTTTCAGAACACTAAGCAATGTCAGTGTGCCATTGTCTCCAGTGAATGTGCAGGGAGAACAGCAATTACAAGATCCACATTCAACTGCAGTTTCCACCTTTAATTACTTCTCTAATTCTTTTCATCGGGTGAATATAAGAGAAACAGTGATTCCCATCCATCTCTTCGACAAAGATATCAAATCAATCCTTTGGCTTCTAAATCCTCATGTCATTCTAACGTGCAACATGATTTTTTGATTAGCCCTTTCAGCAAATAAAAGTTATATGACATTCCCGCTGTAGTTCAGCTTCAGAACTTTAGTGAGCATAGTGGCCACTTAATTAAAACTCATTCCTTAGCTCTGGAGATACACTAAATTACCTCAAGTTTCTCAGCGTTGGCAGGCCACCAAAATATATTTTGTCATCTGCTTTCAAGTCAAGACCAAAGTTGTTTCCAGGAGATGAAGTTGCTATGTTTTCCTCCTGGTTGGTATCTATATCTATAATTGATATGTTGGCTGTAAGAGAGAGAAGTTTCACATTTTATTTGAGTCTTAATATATATCATCGCCGTTACTTCAAGATAAATTTACTTTAATTCTCAAATTAACACTGACTTTCTCAGGCACTTGTGCTATATACAACTATTTAAGAATTGCAGAAACAAAAACATCATTAAACTATTCACAGTGTGAAATGATATCCTGAACACCAATGAATGCAAGCCAATCAATATAAAAGAGAGGTTTAGATAGATGAACATCAAAGAAACAATGGACTTTGTTTTCTGTAACATAGATAAGTAGTTAGAAAATAAAGTAAGATAACTAATACTAAGGTAGATATCTAATTAGGAGTTAGGTTATTAATATGCTGAATCCGTGGCTCCTCCTGCCCACCTCAGGATCCACAGAAGCACTGGGGCTTCGGCTCACCCGCAAAGGGGTGTGTTTGGGAGGCTGCGTACAAACAGGAGAGATGGGAACGTCTGGCTTTGCAAAATGATGGGGTCCACATCCCTGGGAAATTACATTTGTGATGAAGGATGCTGAGTGTTGTGAGAGAGGTACAGTCTTCATGCCTTTTTGCTTTTCTCTCAGGCCTTAAAGGTATTTCGAATATGATGAGCATAGGAATTCAGAAATAGAAAGGAAAAGGGAAAACAGGCACTTCTCTGTTTAAACTGCTTCGCTCAGCAAGTGGATGGAACCTCTTCTCTCATTGATTTTCCCCCTTATTCTGAAGAGCCGAGCCAGGCTTTTTTTGAATGATGTGGTTTCTCACCCTAATGTTGCTTAGGCCAGACTTTAATGGCTTCGCATACAGTCTTTTGGCACCTTGATGCATACTGAGACATTAGTTCACTAACATGACAAGTTGGGCCTCCAAATCTTTGCTTGATATAGGATCTGAATTAGCAAGGGTCTGAAAATGGCCATTTGAACCAAATGGGTTATAACGGCATTTCTAAATGTTTATTTTTTGGATAGCTAGCTTCTTGAATGTTCCTGGTTCAAATAAATGTAATAAACACTGGATTAGGAAAAATTAAACATATATCTCGATTTCATCTCGGCCCAGACCTTCCAACATGTGGATATGCAATGTACATATGCAGCAGGAACACAGAGCAAGAAGTATTTTCTACATTTATTTGACCAGGGAACATTATAATTTTCTCTCAACTCATCATCGTTTAGAATAGTGTTCTTTGGAAAACAAAATATCAAACTCCAAAGATCCATTGTAATCTTCCATTTCAAACAAAGTATCTTCAATAAAACCAAACATAATTGCCTTTCAAAATGACCAAAATAAAATACCCAAACCTATTAAAACCTCATATTCTCAAAGCAGAGTTTTGTAAAAACATACAAACAACAACAAAAACCCCTAAAACATAACTGCCTTATTAAAAATATTTAGCAAATTAAGATTTTAGCATTTAATTACTTTTATACACATATTAATTTCATACACACATACATTTTTGACCTCACTGGTGGCTAGAATAAAAAAAGCAACCAATAAACTAAACTGTTTTCAAGACTTTTTCATACATACTCCTTTTTATTCAGATCCACAAAGTTTTTATATAGGGCTGTTGACTGGAACATAAAAATAACCTCCTTCTACACACCTGGCACATATTCTAATGGTGTCTGAGAAAATGAGATTCTGCCTCTATCTCAGGCAAGGCAGTGACTGGAGGTCGTTTTCCTCCTTAGCCCTGAGTGAATATATGCATTTTTAGAAGTCACTCTAAGAAAAACCGATTAAAGGGCAGAAACACAATTGAATTGAAACTCACTGGCCCAAGCGTTTACTCCGGCAGAGAGACACAGGATGGCATATTTTTAGTGATTTAAAGGAAGGGCTTTCCTCTGTCCTTCATGAGTGATAGTGATGAAACGAAATGGTTACTGCAACGAAATGCTAACACTTGCTTTTATTTCTTGCCCTATTTCTTTCCCTTACTGGGTAGCTATTAACATAAAATTTCAGTGTTGATGAGTTCAGACATCATTTATGGGTAAGCAGGGAAATAAGGGTTTTAGTAACTACTAGACACCGAGTAAGGGCTTAACCAGCATTTTACAGTCAGTGCTGAGCAGTTATGAATGAAGTGTTTTTACTTTGGTAATTCTTGTCTTCTGTCTCTGAGCCCCTTGGAAATCTAAATGGTCTTTCTCAGTCTTGTGTCCATCTCAGCGCATTTGAGGGACCTGGCAGACTTCCATTGGTAGTAAGTAGACTGTGGTTCTACTAACGGATTCTCAGAGAAGCGGGGAACGCTACTGAAGGAAGCATTGGAATTTCCAGGGACGGTACTTTTACCAACTAGTTGAGAATAATCCATGGAAAACAACTAACCTAGTCCCTGAACAGGAGCAGTGACCCACGTATCTGGAGCCTTACCTGAATTCCCATCCTGTCCTATCCGTGAGCCTGATCTTGCTGTGAGTCTCTGTATGACTATATACTTTCATGTCCTGGGTAATACTTGGGCGTGGAATGGCAGGTTCAGATGGTAGGTGTCTATTTAGCCTTTTAAGAAGCTGCCAGCCTGTTTTCTAATGTGGCCGCTCCCTTTCACATCCCCATCAGCAGCACATAAGAGCTCCAGCTGCTCCACATCCTTGCCAGCCCCGGGTATGTCAGTTTTTTTCATTTTAGACTTTCTAATAACTGTGCAGAGCTATCACATGGTGGTTTATTTTGCATTTCCCTAGTGTCCTTTCCCATTCCAATTCTTGCCTGAAGCTATCATTCATCTCCAGCCTGGACTATTATTGGTTCTAACTGGTCACTCTGCCTCCAGTGTGATCTACTGAAAATGTATCTTCCTTTTTTCTCCTTTCTCTGTTCATTTCTCTACAGTCCCCTTTGTGGGGTCCTCCTTTACGACACTGCTTCAATACTGTTGTTTGCTCCAGGGCTTTGGATCGTCTTATTCTAGATATGGCTGCTGGGTTTTTCACATCCCTCTTCAGCTACAACTATTTAAACCATGATGATGGTTCCTAGCTATTCATCTCTTTCCTAGAGCTCTGCTGGTCCTCAGAGACACATAACTACTTGTGTGCCAGTTACACAGCTTCCCTTGGCTGCTTAAGGTAGGACCCTCCAGTTCGTGGGCCAACTTTCTAACCACTGAGCCAAACCAGCCAGAGCCTAAAGCACAAATTTGATGGTGTGATGGTGTCACGCCCTTGATTAAAACTCTGAGCAGTTCTCTGTAGCTTTCAGGATAAACTTGCAACTCATTAGCTTATGTCATAAGGCCCTTTGTGAACTGCCTCTGCATCTCTCTCGCCTCACCTGATAATTTTATGTCTACATCCATCCTGTTAGCCTGTGGATTTACTTGCAGTTACTAAAGCATTTCCCAACGTGTGTTCAGCAGAATGCTAGTATTGTAGGAATGGAAGGCTTTTGGTGATCAAAGATGTTTGGGAAATGTTGGGACAGAGTTAAACATTCTTCTTAGCTACTCTGCAGAGCCTCTAACCTGCAACGTGCAGTGTCTCTCTTACATGGAGCAATGTATTGAGCAGCATTCCAATTTATACAGGTGCACAAACAGTTTTTATCCCAACTGGGGAGTTTCTCCAGGGCTTCATGCTCCAGGGAAAAGCAGTTGGAAATGATATTATTATGTGTTATGCTCTCTGAGGCACTCTAGGCTTTCACTTCTCTGAAATATCAAAAGATGCTTTTTATCCAGCGAACCCCTCAACTCCTCTTTGCACCCCAGGGGAATTCCCTGCTAGACATATCTCTATAGAGCAATTAGCTTTCTGACCTCTAACTGTTGATCTGCTTGCCTATCGCCCCATTAGACTACAAGCTCCTTGAAGTTAAGAACTTGTCATAGACTTCATTTAGTTCCTGCATAGTCCTTAGTAGGTGCTTGGCAGATATTTGTTCAATGCAGGAATGAGGGATGGTGCAGAGTTAAACATAAATTTCCATGAAATGTCACATTGGCATGGTCAAAATTAATTAGGGCTAATTATGTAAACAAGTATTACAGTTTCATTTGCACATAGTACACAGAATTAGAGCAATTATACTTATATAACAATAGCAGCACACTAATACCTAATAAACTTGGATTTCTGTTTTGATTGTGAGGTCATATTTATATATATCCATGATGTTAGAGTCTACTTTTCCCTTTCTTAACAACAGAACAAAATACCTGCTTATATGAACAAATGAAATAATGTCTGTGAATGTGTTTTTAAAATGTCTTGGAACCATCAAAATGTTACATCATTCTTAATCATTTATTTGGTATTTTTAAAAAGCAAAGAACCATTAGCTGTACTCTAACAACCCTTGCAAATTCTACTTGTGGGCTATTCTAAAGCAAACATCTTGACAAAATAGGAAGAAAAGAAAAGCACACAATGTTTTTAAACCTACTACAGGATATAATTTGACAAGTTGTAAGATAGTTTTATGCTTTTAAATTAATCTCTCAGTTTCAAAAGAAAATGACAGAGAACCATTTGGCTCTTCAATCTGTCATGTCTAACCTAAACCACCTATAATCTAAGCCAAAGAAATGACTGGATCAATTTTTCACAGAATTTGTGAGTACCTAAAATTATAGACAGTGTCTTCCTCATGATTAGGTCCATGAGAGCTTTGGAGGGCACGATTAAGGCTCATAGTGCATTATTACCATAGAAACTCACCTTGTTTTTGAATTCTTGAGAGGGTGAATGATTTCCATTTCCCATCATTATGGTTTTGATTGCTGACAACAGAAGCCATTCCTGAACCCAGATCATAGCTGACTTTTATGTGCCCGTCAGTGAGCTCTACACTCATGAAATCTTTCTATTAATAAAATGAAAATACACCAGTGATTAGATACACAGAGACATGTGGGTAGTCACTTTCTTTGAGGGGTTTATAATAGAGCCTTATGGCTAAATTACTGAATGTATTGATCGGTAATTTAACTCCATTTTGAAAATAGAATTGGTATTACTATTTTGGGAATATTTGTGGGTGTGTTATTATAGTCCAGATGGTCACAACCAAATCACTGGGATGTATCCTTTTATGACAGGAGTATAGAGGGGGTTGCTTTGAAAACATATTAAGCAAACTAAAAGGTAAGCTCCTTGAAAGAATTTACTAAGAAATATTGACCTGGGCCCACTTGGGCATGGCTCAGTGGTTGAGCATCGACCTAGGATCCAGGCGATCGAGGTTTGATTCCGGGTCAGGGCACATGCCCGGGTTGCAGGCTCCCCAATCGGGGGCATGCAGGAGGCAGCCGATCAATGACTCTCTCTCGTCATTGATGTTTCTCTCCCTCTTTCTCCCTCTCCCTTCCTCTCTCTGAAATCAATAAAGATATATTTATTAAAAATAAAAGAAATATTTACCTGGAAAAAACAATGAGGATATTTAGAATCATCTTTCAACTTCTTCTCTAGAAGAAGACTAAGAAAGAAGTTCTGCTGCTTCATAATTCCACACTGGGGTAATATTTACTGGGTGCTTCTCTTAAAAAAACTATGTGGGGAGTTATATTGAAAATAAGTAATAATTAAATTATATATGTAATTAAAGTTACCAGTGAAAATATATAAACACAATCTGCACCACTCACTCTTGGTTATCACACAGCCATCCCAGACTCCTTTGAACAATAACTGATAATTTAACAATAACTAATAATTGTACTGGAATACTAGGGAAAAGAAACAAGACATTTTCAATCATGGAAGATTAGCTGTGCATATCTTTACCAGGTCTCTTGTGGCAAGGTACATCAGGAGAGCACTTGAAGAAAATGTCCTGAACTTGAACATGACCGTGGAGATGTTGGGGTACCAGCGAATGGGGCGGCTGACCATTGCGTAGCCTTCTCCATCAAACTGAATAGTTCCCTCACTGTCTTCCACCTGAGGACTGAAGAGAGACATTTCACATAAATCAGACAATGTTTACTTGGTCCGTCAGTATTCAATACATCAAACTGTCTTCTGAGACTCAATTGTGAGCTGTTGTAGGACAGAAACCATATCAAATATATCTTCTATACTTCCACGTCTCTCCACTTCCACCATCCTAGACCAAGTAATCACCATCTCTTACCTGGACTTCATTTGGTGTTCAGCAGCTAGGCCACTGATGTTTTAAATGTTTTATGTTTTGCTAAAGTACTTGGTGAACGATTATATTGGTGTTTAAGTGCGTCTCAGTGGTGTGAACTAGTGGTGTTTTTGGATGGGCTAAGAATGCATTATTAGTTTTCTAACATACGTAACGGCAAAGAGGGGGGTTGGATGACATGGATGAAGGTGTTCAAAAAGTACAAACTTAGAGTTTTAAGAAAAAGAACCACATAATGGAATATAGGTCCCTACTCTCTGAATACTTAATATCCAATAGGTTTTTCTGGGGCAGATCGGACTCAGACAATGAAGGATGCCTCTACTTATCTGTGCATTTGTTGACCTGTCCTCTTCACTAGACTGTAAACTCTACGAGACCAACTAGAAATTATGGGCCAGGCTTCATCCAGGCACAAGCTCAGCCACCAGTATGATGCTGGCTCACAGTAGAATCTGGCCAGTGTTTGTGGAAGGAAGGAGAGTTTAGGATAGCATATTGTCTTACAAAGACTATCTAAGATAAGTCTGGTAAATATAACATTTTATTTTATTATTTTTATTTTTAAATATATTTTTATTGATTTCAGAGAAAGGAAGGGAGAGGGAAAGAGAGAGAGAAACATCAATGATGAGAGAGTCATTGATCGGCTGCACACCCCCTGCTGGGGATTGAGCCTGAAACCCAGGCATGTGCCCTGACCTGGAATTGAACCTCAGTCTCCTGGATCATAGGTCAATGCTCAGCCCCTGAGCTGGCCAGGCAAAATATAACATTTTAAAAGATTTCTTTTTCAAATGAGAAGTTATCTATCTTTTATCTATTATCTATCTAATTGGTGGTATTACAGATTAAATCTCAGTTGTGGAGATATTTTTAAAACTTTAAATATCTGCATATTAGCATATATTTAAATCTCTAAAGTTGGAAAGTTGTAATAACATGAAGGTAGAGAGAAGATATTGAGAAATATTATAGTTATGTCATTGTAAAATAACAAGAGCCTAGAGTATTATTTGCCTAAATCTTGGCTAATGAGAAAAATAATAGTGGAAAAATATTAATGGGCTTGTTGTCGAAGAAATGTTATACATTTCAGACAAGTTGGCTTCCTCTCTATTCCTGGACCAGAGAAGAATAAAATTCTCAAAACAAAAGAAAGGGAAGAATCTTATTGTGTCCTTCATAATTAGGTCTTTATAATTTTAAGTTATATCATATTTGAAATAAGACCAGGTTATGTCATAAAATTTTTTTCTAAAGTAAATTTAAAAGATGTTTTTTAAACTTTTATGTAAAGTGCTAACTAAAAGTTTGAGGAACTAAATCAATCTATTAACAGTGTAATTGGTAGTAAATAAACTGGTTATTATTGGACTTCATTCATTTCTGAAGCACTACATTTGAGAGAAGAGAATGTTGTATGGAGTCCACTAAGGAGAAGTTTCTTTGAAGTTCTCAAATACTAGAATTTTGCATTATATACTGTCATGCTACCAGTGACAACCAGAAAGGGATGTAGGAGTCACTGTTGACAGTTTTCTGGGTTGTTTGACTCAATGGATTGTTATTTATAACTTAAAAAAAACACACACACACACAAATAAAAACAACATAAAACCTCAATGTCAGGATAAGTATTAGAATCAAAACAAAAATATCACATTTTATTTTTCTTGCACAAAAACTCTGGGATATTTATACCTTGATGTCCTTATGTCCTTGATCTATTTATTCCCTCAACATATCATAGTAAAAGTAGCAAATGAGATGCAGGCACTCTGGAGTCTGATGTGGAATCTCACTAAGGGCCTGCTGTAAGTCACTCATACCACAGGTCTCAATTTCTCAACCGTGAGCTGGAGGGGTTAGATCACGGAATGATTTCTAAGGCCCCTTTCTACCCCAACGCTTTAAGACATTCTCCAATTCAAGCAAAAGGCAAATCTGCAGGAAAGAGTTTTGTGCTGAGAACAGCTAAACATATAATTGTAGATCAGCCTACTTCACTTGATTCATTGGCCAAAACCAGGTAAGTCTGGCTTTAAATTGGAGACATTGAGATGAAAAAAACGAGTCCTTCCAGATGTAGCCTGTAATATTTCAACATCTAACATTATACTAGTTTTTCCTTTTCATTTTGAATACATTTACCAGAAAAAGTAACTATTCTTTTATAATTAATAAATGCTAAGTTTCTTAAATTGCCTTCTGTTTCCCTTTTGAACCTTGATGTCTGGTCAGGTTAGTAAGGATTGATTACGCTGTTTGGAACAGCCATGCTCTTCCACATGTAACATGTTGACTGTAGAAGTAGGTGCATATTGGGGTTTAGTATACTAACATTTCATCACCATTTCAGTGTCCAGCTAAATACATTTCACTTGTAGCAAATTTTCTTTTCTACTTTAATCTTAATGTTATTTTCAGAATTAGAAAAAAAGATATACTTCTTTTTTTATATTTGTGAAAGATTATTCTTTCTAAAGCATAACAACAACGATATTCCTTCTACTGACTCCTGGATAGCTATGAATTTCTAAAACTGACATTCTAAGATCATCTACAAAATTTTCTCAGTCTATGTTTTTATAGCCTCATCTTTTACTTCTTCCTCATATAGATTTCTTCTTTAAAGTTGGAAGGATTCATTTTTACGTTAAATTGTGGTCTATGTTCTGAAAACAAACAAACACCAGGAGGCCTGTAAAAAATATTCCTACAGATAGGAGTAGGTTTATAGGAAAATAGGGCTGGGGCAGGTTGCTCAAAACTTAGGCAACTTTGTAATCAGAGAACTCACAAAACCAATAACAACCTTGATCAGAATACCGCATCATACAAAAAGGTATGTGGAAAATTTAAAATACTTAGTTATTTCAGTAAATATAGAATTTTACTTTTATTTTTTTAATTTATTTTTTATTTTGATCTATTTATTCCCTTTATTTTATTTTTTCCATCACCAAGGAGTTTACTTTAAAAGGAATAGGTGAAGGTAGTTTGATGGCAAGAAGTGTTGACCCTGCTGACTGACAGATGTGCTAAAAATGCACAATTATGGTTGCCAGGGAGGCAGGGATTTGGGGTGAAAAAGGGACTGAGCAAAACAAACAAACAAACAAATAAAAAGCAAGGCACAGGCAACAGTAGGGTGTTTGCCAGAGGGAAAGGGGGATAGGGAGAGGAAGACGGCATCGGGGGGACAAATGGTGACGGAAAGAGACTTGACTTCGGGTGGTGAGCGCAGATGATATGTTATAGAGTTGTACACTGGAAACCTGTATGACTTTATCAACCAATGTCACCCCAATAAATTCAATAAAAAATAAAAATAAAAATAAAATATCCTTATTAAAAAGAGAGAAAAAAAAAAAGAAATTATAACTACAGGATAGCCACAGAAACAAAAAAGCTCCTGGACATGAAGGGAAGTTGGAGTGGAAAGAGATAATAGTCTTAGCTGATTGAGGTTAAAATACCTGACCTTTGCAAATTTTACAAAAACATATGACCATGTAAAAGTACTGCTAGAACACCTCCCAGGGCCCTGGAAAGTGCCTGCACCAATTGGGGAAGGGACTTGAGCCTTCATTAGCGCCATGATAAATCCACCTCTGAACATAAGCACTTGGAGCCTGTTCCATCCCATCCACATGATAACAGAATAGTGCACAATATGACTAGAGCTGTGACCCACAGGCCAGCCCATCTCAACTAACCTGACAGTACATCCTTTGCAGTCACCCTCTATTTCTCGGAAATTCCACAACCCTATGGGTTTGCTGTCAAAGTATGTTTCTCCCATGCAGCCAGTGAATGTAATCACACGCACAGCATCAGCCTTCTGCAGACAGAAATATAATATTTGTTAGAATTTAGAATTTCACTAAAAATCTTTGAGTACCTGTAAGATTTATTAGCAGCAGAATCTGGAATAGTTGTCATTCATTCTTTCTTATATTCTTGGTTATGCACATATTCATCTTTTAGCCATATTAGATCCTGGTTATTTTGTGCTAAACCAGTTTAACACCATTGGTAAATAAACACGGCCTAGCTTCTGACTTGAGGTGAGCTGCTTATCTTCTTTGAGATTCTATTTTTTGTCTTTAACATGGGATTATTAGGAAAACTAAATTAGATAATTTACTTATGGTACCACCTACAGTGATTGACACAGAGAAGGTGTCATAAATTGTGTGAACATAATCTCACTATTCATTGTGTTTGTGAAACATGGTGATTATGAGTTGAGACACTTGTCCCTGCAAACCTGTGTTTAACTGCAGCTCCACCACTAACTGCTGTGTGACCTTAGTCAAGTCATTTAACTTTTCTCTAAGATTCCTTAACTATGAGGAGTATATTACTTACCTTTTGGGGTTGTTGTCAAAAATAAGTTAATGCATGTAAATGACTTAGAACATTACTGAGCACATAGTAAGGGCTATATAAGTGTTTTAAAAATTTATTATAAATATACAGGCAAAGCTGATATTCTCATCTCCCTTTTCTAGTCGAGACAACTGAAGCCCAAGGGATTAAGTGAATTCCCTAAAGTTGAATTTTAGTAAATGATAGAGCAGAGGATCCAACCTGGACTTGATTTCAAAATACATAGCTTTTGTATTGCTCTGTGCCACCCCTAAATTAACCTTTCTGGGGAGAAGAGAAAGTTGGCAATATGGCTATATATTACTATGTACCATATGTATTTATATGCAGTTCTAAGAAATGAGAATGATTTTAGTGTGTAGTTGTAGAATCAATTACAAAACTTTAGAGTCAGATCTCATACACAAGGCAAATAAAACAACATCACTCTATAAGAAGGTTGAGTTCTCATAAATTTGGGGTCACCCTGGCTGTTCACATTTTCTGACTAATCTCATCCCAGGATGATTCTGACAAGCCCAGGATTAACCATTATATTTGGTTGTGTTCTTACATCTCACCCACAGGTCGTTTTCCAACACCTAATCCCATTTAATCACCATGAGCTTCTTTAAAATGCAGGCACTTTGCAATTTGAAATGGGCAAGGACCTATCATGGAGCAATTATGAATATTAAGTGCATTACTCTATAAAAATGGGGAGAAGAGCTACTCGAAAACTTTTAAAATTGGATCATAATTTGAAAGCTTACGACTCCTGTGATATTTCCCAAGGTATTCATAAATCTTTTAATTAGATGTGAGTTTGAATTTTATAGTACTTCATATCCATGAATCACAAGTTGACTCAGAAAATAAAGTATATTTAAAAATCACTTTGCTTTTGAGGCAACTAAAATAAGAATATCCAAAAATCAATGCCATAGGTTAGGGCAAAACAACTATTTAAATAAGTGTACACATGAGTTTAAAATATTGTATTTCCAGTATTGAATATTTGAAGAAGAAGTTCTTACTCAATATAAATTCCTGTTTTCAAAAATACAAATTAAGTAAAAAGTGGTTAAGTTTTTGCAGAGTTTTATCATGCTTCTCCCAAAGTAACCATGTCAGGAGTCGCCCACAAAGATGGGGTAGATAGGCTGGGGAAGAACACATTACCTTCAATTTCCCTGTCAAGCCACCAACGAAGAGCATTGCATTGGCATCCACGTCTAGAATCGTGTACCCCGGAGGAGACGCTGAATGGTATGTACTGGGCACAATGCTGGCTTTGGGTCCATCCAGGGCCCTCACAGAAATGGTTCCGTTTCTCCCAGTTCTTCCAGGTACGTGTTGAAAGGAAGTGGAAGAAAATAAATTATGTATCACCTTTCTGGTAGCTTCAGATTGAAAAGGTATAAAATGTAGAGACTTGCTTTGGAATATTTAGGAGATAACTGGGTATTTAGCGTCAAAATTTCCATATTCATTAAAATGCAAATCAAAACCCAGAGTCTGATCTTTGCTCGATATTTACTGTCAGAGTCAGCTAGGACCAGTGAGCAACACACCCCGATTCTGTGTGTGTCCATTGATATGAACTGACACAGAAGCAATTAGCTGATGAGACTGCTATTGGTTAAATAAAAAGCCTTTTTCCTATGGCCTTACAGAATAATTTACTATTTACCAACATGTACTATTTAAACAAGTTAATGTAACTTCATTTAGCATTTTGTCTAATTCAGTTCAGCAAGTGAACTCTGAATAATCCACCCTTCTCTGCATTATAAACTGCATACTTTCTCCTAAAACCCCTTCTTATATCTTGGATCCAGATTTGCTGCAGTTGGCTTCCTGGAACTGTGCATCTTTTATTGTTTGGCATACCATCTTAATGTATATTGTATAATGTCTCATCTTCAGCCTTGTGTATACAAATTGTGTAAAAGACCTTCACTTTTAAATTCAATTAATGTGGTTTTGAAAGCTATTATTATTGTATTTGACTTTTTTTAAAGTGGTTGATTTCCATGAATTGTTAAGTATGAAAATCTGGCCTCTTTTCTGAGACAAGCTGTCATAACAAAACTTTAGTGTCATATTTCTCTCCCTGTTGTCTCATTTTGGTAACCTTTTTATCTTTGAGACTGCAGTATTAACTGAAAATCGGGGAAACAGTAAAATGAATGTATGAAATAAGACTCTTTAACAGAACATATCTCTTCTGATAAAAGAACTGTACTTAGTGAATATAAATATTCTTAAGTTTTTGAAGTACTTAACCCCCCATCCCCCACCATTACATGTGGAAGCACATTTTGTTTGCTGTTCTCTCACTCTCTCACACACACACACACACTCTCTCTCTTTTACTGACGATTTTACAAAGGAACTGAAGATATTTCTTCTAGTTAAGTTTTCTTTAAAGTTTTTTTATGATGAAAAAAATTTAAGCACATAGGATGAAATTCTAGGTATCCATCATCGAGATTCAACAACTACGAGATTATTAATCAACTTCATCTCTAGCCCTAGGCCCTTAACAGTAGCTCTTAACTATTAGCTGCCTTGGGTATGGTAGACAGTTAAGAAATAGTGAGGCGGAGAATTGGGGATAGGAATGGTTTCTCTAAGTAATCTATACGCTGCTAGAAGTTAATGGAATTAAAGCTTCAAAGATAGAATTAATCAATTTCCTGTTACTTCCCATTTTAGGTGGCATGGACCCCACATGTATTCATGCCAGCATTTAAGTGCTGCACGCGCCTGTAGGCTAGAAGAGCAACTGTGCACACCAAAGACAGGCACCGCGGCAGCTTATGCTCTGGCTGGTTCTGGACAAGGCCCAGCCTCAGCATTCCTCCTTCAGGTGTGATGTAAGGTGGAAAACAACTGAGCCTCAGGGTTCCCAGGGCCAGCCAGATAAGGGCATCCAAAATAAATGGTCACTCGGGTCAGTATCCTGAAGGCTTGTCGGTACCTAACAGGCACTACAGAGATACCAATTTGCAAACATTTATACATATACACATAATACAGAAAATTTATACACACACACACACACATACACACACACACACATATATACAAATCTATACATACACTGCATACAAGTTTGTATACATACCTTCTGGAAATGAAAATAGGAGTTTCCTTATAAACTGAGAAACTCCTTCAAAATTCTGTCATTTATCTTAATCTTTATTGAGTTAGTTACCTTGATGCCTCAATTCGGTACCAGTAGGAGTCATCAATAGTCAAATCTGGATACTCTACACGACCAACTCCAGATCCAACATCCCAGAGGAAGCTTACTTTGCCTTTTCGCATTTCTATAGCCAGAAAGTCAATCTAGTTCACAGAAACACAAGAACAATACATATCAGATACAGAGCACCCAGAAAGAGGAGGCCAGCAGTGTTCTTTTTAACAGGTGCCATTTGCAGATATGTGAAATAATTAGAAGTCATGTGTGAATAAAATTCCTAAATAATATGAACTATTATTTTGTATAGTTAAGCAATACTTTATTATTGTATCTTTAAAGCAACACAATTGTCCATACTGCTGAGGTGTATGTGTTAATTTAATTAATTCTAGTTACGACTAATTTTGAGACAAAGTCTTTTCTTACTCTGATACTTGTGGTAGAGATCAAAGAAAATATTTGGATTCATAATTCATTGTTTTCTCCAAGAGCACTGACATTTATGAAGGACCAGCTATGATTTTCTACTCAAGGTGACCCCAAGCTTCTCACCAGAATTCCAAGTATTGACTTATGCAACGAGTGGGCTGTTGAAAAGTCATGTTAATTTTGGAAGGTCCCCATGCATGCAAAGCCAAATAGTTTTTTAAAAATGAAAGGAATTACAATTTTTTAGGTGAGCCTCTGCAAATATAACTTCTTTGAGTCATAAACTCAACATGAATCAGAAGAATTTTTATTGGCAAAAAGTTTGTACACAATTTGCCATTTTCATTTACCATGAGAATTCATTGTAACTTCTCAGAGAAAAGTAAAAAAAAAAAAGATTTATTCCTATTAGTCTTTCTTCTTAAATAGCTGGATCTGGAAATATAATTCATAATACATGTTCTTAGTGTTCTCTGTTCTGTCACACGCAGAAGAGCAGATGTGTCTAAGTACTGTAAAAAGTTTCCTTCATTTCATTTGCCTTCTAACTTAATTTGGCACTGCGGAACTTTGTGAGGTAAGATTCTGAGGTTTTTCAAGTCTGAAAGGCTGGCGGCATTACATAATTTTGGGACCAGGTCATTGGATTCCATACATTTTCCATACTACCAGGGTTAACCTCTGACCACACACATACACAGTAAACCAAGACATGCTGAATAGTACACTTACAAATTTGGCACTTCCAAGATAAAAAAGGAGGTTGTCAGCAACAGCTGTCTTCACGTTGACAATGATATTATTGTAGCTTCCTTTCTTGATTTCTGGCTTGTATGTTCGGATGCAGTCACCTCCCGAAGACACGGATACTTTGATCTTCAGGAAAAGCAAGGTACAAAGAACCAAGACTAAATCTCTCAGAAAACTTAAATAGCTCCCAAACAACCACAAAACCATCATCATCTCTTCTTTGAAGTTATTTTTCCATTATGAAATACTATCATTAAATGCCCATGTGCAGACGCTATCATACTCACTAATGAGGGCAGAGAAGAGCAGCTTTCCACCAGCATTTTGACAATAAGCTATTCACAGTCGCACGTCCTGTTAGTACACTACTATTTTTTGAAGCATGCAACTAACAAATTCTTACCTCATACTTTACTCCTTTAGGAACATGGCAACACTTTCTAAAGGTGATTTTGCATGAAGTTAATGGTAATATCTTTATTAAGGTTGTTTAATGAAATTCTGCAATTCAAATTTCAGCAATTTTGGTATCACTTCAAATAGGAAACCATTTTTCTTTTCTTTTTCAAGAGGAAATTATCTACCTTCCCATGTTCTTACAGTTGAAAGAGGCCAAATGGATTTTGTTCTAGATGTTCTAACAGTGAGAGGAATATTAATCATTCCACTCAGCATATACATTTCAGAACAAATTATATCTTTTTATTAAGTTTCCAGGAATGAAACAGAAATAATTTAGAATGGCTATCACCACTAATGTATTTAACAGCTCCTTTTTCTTTTGCTAGGAAAGCAAAAGAAAAAATTTGCTTTAAAATTACTTTAAAAATTACTATAAATTGCTAGGAAAGGAATGCCTATGTGAATAGACCTGACACAGTTCATACCAATTTTTATTTCCATTTTGGGAGCTTTTCTTCAGTCACAAATAACACTAGTTGATGATCTGATTTAATTTCCTTTGGTTCACGTGCACCATAAAAGGTGGATTTTCAGGACAAGACCATTGTTGCTTGGACTCAGAGAGAAGCCTTTACTTTGTTAGTGATAGTGCTCAAAGTAGGAGGCAGAGACCGGGGAAGATGCAAAACTTCTCTTTGCCACTGATTCAAACACCGCCTTCAGGAAGCCTCTTGGTCCGCACTGGCAGTGAGTTTCCATTTTCTCATTCCTTCTAGCACTTTGTGTTACTCATATAGTTTCCACAATTTGAAGAAAACCAACAAGCACTACTGTTACCGCCACGAAAGGGCTGTGCAGACTCCAGATAAGACAGCCTAGGGCGCCAAACCCGTCTCCATATTATGGTGACACAAGGGGGTGTCTTCAAGAGTCTAATTAGGGTGAGGCTGTGGGCAGCGATGGGACTCCTCCAACGGTGGTACAGACTATACTGGTTGGATTTAAAAGAGAAGACTAAGGAGGGGCTTTTGGTTATGGCAAATACGTAAATTCATACGTTTGAGAACTTCTGGGGATACAGCAGATCTGTTGAATCCCCTACAGACCGTGCAGAAGTCGTCGTGTATTTGTATACTGTTTTCTCACCCAATCTGCTATCCAGATGACATCTCCAAGCAGAGGAAATCCTGTGTTTGAAAGAAACAGGGGATCCCCCTGATGGAGGCCTGTGTGGTGGCCTGGGGCTGGAGTAATCGAGGAAGCCTCCTGCTTAGACTGCGTCCCAGTCCTTGCCTTCCCTCGAGGGTGGGGCCCAGTCTGCTAACCTAGGGGCACAGCCCTGAGGGCCACTCTGGTCCCTAGGGTGTTGGTCTGTGTTCTGGAGAAGATAATCTTCCTGTGTGTGGTTTTCAGCCAGGAATTTAGTTCTTTGTTTCACAAATGATGGCATTTCCCTTCTACATAAAGTGCTAGAATAGATGAATCAAAATATCAATTTCTGAAAAATAGAACCAGAAGTGCACAACTTTTCTTCTGGATGTTAATACTATAAAGGAAACGTGCCACAGAGGTTATCAGAGGAGCAGCTATACAAAGGGCTACCCAAGGGCTTAGACATAAAAAGAAGCAAAGTGAGAGAAAGATGCTATAGTAGCGGGCAGGGAGGGGAAATGCAGTCTTCAGATGTTTTCATGTTTGGGAAAAGGTATGAGATAGTGAGTTTTTAGGAATTTATAGCAAGTGAACCAAAACCATCAACAGAGAAGACCTTGGCACTGAGCAAACTTAATATCTGGGGCAGGCTGTGAGTGTCATTGACTTCATAAGATCAAAGAGAAGTCCTCAAGGTCTGCCTGGGATTCACGATTAGAATAGTCTGAGCTCTTTCCAGCAGGAATCATACCCATATTTCTAGAGGGGCTGGTGTAGCAGTCAAAAGTAACTACGTGTGTAGTTTGTTTTATCTTTATTTCGTATATGCTTTATAAGCTTATGACTAGTTTAGTCACAAATAACTTGTTTAAAGAACACAATATTATAATACTCCTTGGTTACTGTTAAGAAAAGAGATGGCTGACTGTGGGTGGAATACATGACCCTTGGGTCACAGGAGGAATCTGCCCTGCTTAGATGCAGCTGGTAGAAATGATGGGGGATTACATGATCGGGGTGTTCCAAAGGAGGCGGCCAAATGCAGAAGACAGAGCCCCAGGACTGGAGCCTACCTGAACGGATGAAACGCCATCAGAGAAGTAAGTCTAAGAAAGCACCCATTTTTAAGCAAAGGATATTTAACATCACTAAAAGTTACAATTAATCTGCTTTATAGCACACTTTACATATCTAAAACATATGGTTCTCTGAACAAAATGATGCTGTTATACCCAATATGTAGCGGTTAATCTTATAAAATAGCCTATTGGTCAGCTCTTATACATTTATATGCAAAATCCTCTGGATTTTCTGTTTTCTGGCTTATGGTTTTGAATACATGCTCAGTACCTGAAAAATTCAGGGAGCTCAAAATGTTGGTAACTAGTCCATAGCTACTACTTTCTCATTTAAACATTTTGTGTTTTTCTTTATGATTATATTTATTTTAACTGACTTAAATAAATTCAAGTACAGCATTTACAAATTTCTCTAGATGAAATCTCTAAGATATATCCCTCATAAAAGGAGAGAGATTTCTGAAACACAAGCATCCTTTTAAGATATTTGGTTCTATCAACTTGCTATTTCTAATGTGAATCCTTAGTAAGACTTCTAAACAAAAATCACTAAGCATTAGGTATGTCTAAAGCATTTCTCATAAACATTATTTACCAATTTATCATCATGAACTCAGTTAAACATTATTGAAGATCCCATTATTATATCTATTGGATTTTTACTGCATTTTTCATCTAGCAACTAGGTCATTCATTTTAAGAGTATCAGCCGCTCAATTTCAAAGTCAGCAAAGCAAAAAAAAGCTACTTTAAAATAAATGTCTTTGATTTCTTGGTCAGATTGAGTATGTGTTAGGGCCACATCCAGATACTCATGCCAGATTACAAATATGTTTATAAATCAGGCAAATGTCATCTTCAATTTGTATAAAACTCATGTGAAAAAAAGTTGGGTGCTTACAGATTTCTAACATCTTACAGAAAGCAAGGCACTTTGTTACAGCTTCTATTTCCAAAAGTGATTGAGAATTTCCTTGAAAGACATAGGCAATGGTCACTTTTTCTGGCATTACTTTTATACCTGTCTTTCATTTTGAGTTTGGAGACAGGTTTTATGTATTTACATGCTAGAATTTTATCTTTTTCCCCAGGGGGTGGGTGGTGATGTGGGAAAGTTCTCATAACTGATAAATATATGGGCGTATTTCAAAATGTCAATGAAGACAATAAAAATGTCTAGATTTCCTCACCTGATAACTAGGCAGAATATGTGGCTAAGTGTGCGATTCACAATACAATATGTACTATTATTGCTTCTTTAAACTTAATATTGCAAAATACAGGAGTGGTATGTCAATCTCTTGCTTTCTCCTGCCACTGACTCAATTGGGTTTTGCACAAAATTTCCCTCCTTCTTTCTAGTTTCTCTCGTCTATCCCAAAAGCTCCTTTCAGATTCATATTCAAAATGCTCAGTTCTGATTATGTTACATTTTATAATCAAGAACTTTCAGTTTCTCCAGTGAGGTTTATTTCAATTGCAGCTAATGAAACTGCTTAACTTACTATCCGGGGCCTGACAAGACCTGCCTCCACTGACCTTTCCAGTTTAAGGTTCCCCTTACTAATAATCTTGGCAAACTAGGCTCCTCTTTCATAAAATAACCCTGAAATGTTCTCTCTCTGCCTTGGCTCAAGCTATCCCCTTCTGAGAACGCTGTGCCCCCCACTGCCCCCACGCCCAGCGCCGTCCCACTTTAAGGCCTGGCTCAGCTCCCTCAGTGCAGGAAACCGGGCCCTGGCGGAGGGGATCTTCCCCTTCAGGACTCTGCAGCCCTCCCATTGCTCAGACAACGTAGCACAACATTCTGCATTATCTTAGTTATTTGTATACATGTCTTATTTCTTCTACAACATTATAAACTGGGTGTGTTCCTGGTTCATCTTTGTGTACTTCACAGCAAGTAGCCTTGGACATAAGAGATGGTTTTCCTACATTCGCTAAATCTTAGATAAAACTCCAAACCTTGGAGTACGATATGATTGATTTTCACCCTGTGCTCTGCTTTTACAATGATCACCTGTCATCACAGTGCCTACATGGTTTTCCTATTGCAGCTCAATAAATGTCTTCTCAACCCTCCTGCTTTTTTTTTTTTTTTTTTTTTTTTTGG